ACACACACACACACACACACACACACACACACACACACACACACACCTCGCCTTGCCAGCTAAGGACTCTAGCTTGAAGGCTGCCTCCTATATGGAGGACTTTCCAGACTGGCTCCACAGCCTTGCTCCAAACCACAGTCACTACTTTGAACACTGGACCAGCTGCCCAACCCACTCAGCCTTTCTTTGCTCTCCCACGTGCCCCCTCTCCATCCCAGCCCCATACCTCTAACCTTCTGGGTAACCAGCCCCTGCCTAGCCCCAAACAGCACTGTTAAATGGTTATCCTGCAAACAAATGTTTCCACAGACTTCACGGGCTCTGGCTCTCCATGGCCCGCAAACACGCCACCCCTCGGCTGCCCCCGTCCCTCTCCAGCCACACAGTTGGCCTAGGGAGTCTGTCTGTCTGCCCGCCAAGCTCTCCTCCTCCGTACAAGAGTGACCACTCCGCAGGAGTGGCCATCGTGGCATCAGCCAACAAGAGCGTGCCCTAGGAGGTGCCAACTCCAGCCTCAGTCTCCAGGGAGAGCTGCCTGCTCCATCTTGGCACAAAGCCGGGGATATGGAGTCTCACCAGCTCCCCTCTCCCAGGAGGCTTAGCACAGTGAAGAGCAGGGCAGCTGCAGACACCTGCCTGCTGCCAGGAAAGACCCCAGGAGTCAGAGTTCCTGCCAGGACACAGCCACAGACCCGGGGCACAGACACCCTCCTGCCCTCAGCCTCTCCTCCTTCCAGACTGCTCTCTGTATCCCCATCTGCAGCCCCAGGGAGGAGCCGTCCTCTGCCCAGTGTGCTCACACTGTTCAGTTCTGCTCCACAGAGAACACTGTTGCCCAATCAACCCACAGGGGCACGCTTGCACGTGACTGTATTTGTGCCATGTGTGTGCCTGTTTACATGAGCGTGACCTACGCTCACTCTGAATAGTCGGAGACTAAGCCATCAGATTGCACTGTTTATTGTGGATGCAACAGGGAGGGCGTTAAAGAATACAAGAGAAGCCACGGTGTCCCCTTTCCTCTGGTTCTGGGTGCAGGAAAGTGAAGCCAGAGTCCCGCTGTTCTGAGTGGTCCCACTCAGAGTGAGGCTGCCGCGGGCGGGTGGCCGGGGCCCCCTCAGTCGGTTCTCTGTTAGTCTTCCTTTGGGCATAGCTAGCTTCTGTCATAGGCAGGAGCTCAGATAAAAGCTCAGCAGATGACAAAGCCCCGATGGAGACCCAAGAGGCCAGGCAGTATGGTGAGGACGAAGGCAAAGGCTGGAGGGAAAGACATGCTGGACCTGAGCTGAAGCTGGGAACTGCCTGGGGTCTATCAGAGCTGCACCACACATGGCAGCCCAGAGCTACCCAGGCTCAGAACGTTGGCAGAAGACAAATCCAGGGGCCCGGGGGTGGAACAAGGGAGTAGGAGGGCGGACAGTAGGCTGGGGAGCAGAGCGCCTGAGGGAGAAAGGCCACAGGAAGCCTTCTCTACCGGCCGCCTTTCTTGGAGGGGGTGCTCAGGTTGGAGCCCTTCGTTAGGGCGTCCTTGTAGTCGCTGGCGCTGCCCCGGCTCCTGCTCTCCCCGCCGCGGACGCTGCACACTCCAGAAATGCAGCTGGTGCTGTTGGCCACGTAGCCACCGCTCACTGTGCTGGGCCGGAAGCCGCTGCCGCTGGTGCTGCTGATAATGGCTGCAGGGAAGAGTTAGATTCAGACCCACTCAGGCGGAGCCAAGGAGGGGGCTCTCCTTCCCCCCAAAGCAGACAGGGCTCTGTGAGAACGTGACCATAGTCATTTCCTTACCCTGGGGAGACTGTTCCAAAGACACCTCCCCCGAGCTCCCCACATGTCAACTTACTCACCGTGGCTGCGTGTGTGGCTGAGTCTTGCTGCACTAACAGTCAAGCCCATCGCCCTCAACCAGGTACCCGAGTGCCCACATGTCTCAGGCGCCCACCGCTGCCCCAACCTCTTTCTCCTGCTGGCTCCCCGTGGATGGCAATCAAGATCCCAGATCCAGCCCTGCCAGCTTGCAGTGCTCCTCCTGCAGTTTCTTCACCCTCGCCTAAATCCCCAGTGCAGATCTGACTGTAACTGCAAACCCAGCCTTGAAAGCCTAACCCACACCCTACGCAAACACATCATTTTCTTAGAATTTGTCTTTTGTTTCCCCATCTCCTGAGGCAGAGGCTCTCCCTTATTGCCACCCACCATCTCTTGTGGCAGAGGCTATCCCTTGCTGCCATTCCCCATCTCTTGTGGCAGAGGCTATCCCTTGCTGCCATTCCCCATCTCCTGAGGCAGAGGCTCTTCCTTATTGCCACCCACCATCTCTTGTGGCAGAGGCTCTCCCTCGCTGCCACCCCCTAGGAGGCAGAGTGATGAAGATGAAAGGGTCCTGGGGTAACAGGAAGTTGGGAGACCTGCCCTCACGCTCCCTGACCTCAGACTTTCCTTTCCGCTTCTCAGAGCCCTCATCTAGAGGAACGGGTGTGGTGGAGGCCCTTCCAGTGTGCAGTGGCCATGACTCAGGTCCCAGCCCCAGGTACTCACAGATGCTGACTGGAGAAGGGTACTCTCCTGACATCCTAGTAAAGAGAAAGGTACAGTTAGAAGGGCCATCCCACCGCACCCTCCAAGCATGGGCAGCCCAGCTGACACACTCCGCCCACCTGCACTCCTCGCCCTCCAGCAGCTTGCGGTAGGTGGCGATCTCCATGTCCAGCGCCAGCTTCAGGCTCATCAGCTCCTGGTACTCGCGCAACATCCGTGCCAGCTCCTCCTTGGCCTGGTGCAGGGCACCTTCCAGCTCGTCCAGCTTGGCCCGGGCGTCCTTGAGGGCACTGTCTCCTCGCTGCTCGGCATCAGCAATGGCCGTCTCCAGGTTAGCAGCCTACGCATGGAAGTCAAGAAGCTAGAAAACTGGAGGAGGTGTGGGCGTTATCTGCAGCCAAACCCCTCACATAAGCTCCATTGTATGCACACCACGCTTCTGCTCAGGCTGGAAGGGGCCCGTCAAGCCCTCCTGGATTTCAGCCGTGTGCCTGTTCCCAGACGCCTGTGGTGAGGCGGGGAGCATGCTCCCTGCCCTCTGGAGACCATAGCCACTTCGGGGTGCACAGACACTGGTTGCCAGGCTGCACAGTGAGGAAGCAAGAGGCTTTCTATTCTTGGTTGGCTTAGGGCCTGAGAGGAGCGGTATTACAAGAAAATGTGCTAGAATCCAGCAGCTGGAAGCAGTGACAGCTCCTGCCCAGATGCACAGCCTACAGACGAGGGTCACAGCAAGGAGATTCTCCAGGAATGACAAGCATTTGCCAGGTGCTCACTGTGTGCCCGGGACCACCGTCCCGTGTGCCCAGCACCTCCACCCTGTGTACCCAGCAGCTCTCTGCTCAGCACTCCGCTCAGCCTCCTTTCATTTGACCCACCTGTGAAGGAAGCGGGGCTGACTTACACACGTGGCCACAGAATTGTGTTAAAGCCCATGGGAAGAACATGGGATGAGGTCTGCAGCCACGAACCCCACAGCCGCGCCACACCGCCTCTTACCCCACAGCCGCGCCACACCGCCTCTTACCCCACAGCCGCGCCACACCGCCTCTTATCTGACACACAGAGAACGGGCCTTTGTAGGGATTAGACCTGATGGGACTGTAGGCACTGCTGTCGTCTGCTCTCGGCAGCTCTGTCCCCTGCTGCTAACTGCTGTGTTAGTTCTTTCCTGGGGCTCCCTGAGCCCACTTTTTCTTTTCGGCCATTTCAGTGACATTTACTAAGCTACTGCTATGTGTAGCTACAGCTCAAGCAGCTGAGGGGCATGGAGCAGCCAGTGCCCTGACTCCTTTCAGCCTGGGGAGCTGGGGGGTCAGGCAACTGTCCAGGAGAAACTGCCAAAAGCTGCAAACAGATGGGGGAGCATAGCCTGGGGAGCTGGAGGGTCAGGCAACTGTCCATGAGAAACTGCCAAAAGCTGCAAACAGATGGGGGAGCATAGCCTGGGGGAGGAGGCCGCAGCCCAGCCTGTAAGTCAGGGCAGGCTTCTGGAGGGAGGACAGACTTCCAAAGGGAAGGCGCTTGGAGAGAGTAGGAAAGAGAGGTCCCCAGAGACGCCCAAGAGCTGGAGGGCAGGGGCCTCAATGGCATCTTCTCTTGATGCTGGAGCCACCTGGGAAGCTCACACGCCCCCCACTGGGTGCACTGCCCCTGGCCACGAGCCAGTGTCCCTCACCTGCTTCTTGGCATTCTCGATCTCTGAGCGGAGTCTCTGGATGAACCGGGTTAGCTCAGTGATTTCATTCTTGGTGTTTTTGAGGTCATCCCCATGTCGGCCGGCTGCCAGCTGCAGCTCCTGGAACTGGAAATTCCAAAGCACAGCGATGGGTAAGGGTGATAGCGTGGCGTCTGTGAGGCCCCTGCGTCCCTGAGTGAAGGGTTGCGGCACGGGGGCATGGCAGACTCTGGTCTTGGCATTGTCACTCATCAGCCTTCACACCACTCTCACCCCATCTGCCACCCCCGGCCCAACCTCAGCTCCTCACCTTGGTCTGGTACAGAGCCTCGGCCTCGGCCTTGCTCTTCAGGGCGATCTCCTCGTACTGGGCGCGGACCTCGTCAATGATGCTGTCCAGGTCCAGCTGCCGGTTGTTGTCCATGGAGAGGATGACAGACATGTCGCTGATGTGGGACTGGATCTGAGCCATCTCCTGCAGGGAGCATGGGCAGGAGAATACATCAGTTGACCACTGTCCGGTTCTAGCAGTGCCACTAGGGCCTGGCACACAAGGTTGTCAGCTTCATGTGCAAAGAGAATGCCTGGCTGAGCCCTAGGCAGAGTCTGCAGCCATGCAGTGAGGCCTTGGGGTAGAGAGGGGCTCTCAGGAATGACATGTGGGGTACATGGCTGACCTGGGGACCTTCCTCATAGCTGGCTTCTGTGACTCTCCCAGGCCCTCAGACACTGGCCACCCTGAAGAATGGGGTGTCAAGGGACTTACAGCTTCGAAGAGACACTTGAAGAATTTGATGTCCTGGTCCATGGAGTCCACCTTGGCCTGCAGCTCCACCTTGTTGGCATAAGCCGCATCCACATCCTGAAAGAACACCCAGAGATCCATGATCACCTCATGGGGCCATCTGGAAGGTGACCCTCAGCCCAGCCCAGCTGCCTGGCTGGATGAAGGAGACACTCTCTTCCCCTGTGTGGCTCCTGAGGAAGGAGGTGAAGGCCCCATCTCCCACCACCAGCAGGAATGCGGTTGCCCCACAGAAAGCGTTTCTCGGCCAGGCTTCTGGGAAAGTCCTCTACAGCACCTGTGCTGGGAAGCCCCTCACGCCGATTCATCCCACCATCCTTCCCGCATCTTCATTCCTTCCCCTGGACATCATGGTCCCCAGTCCCTAGTGGTTATTTCTGTATCCTCCCGTGTGGGGATGACGGCAGAGCATGCTGGTAGGCTCAGCCTCTCTGGCCAGATGCTGGCCTCAGGTCTGTCCTCCTCACCTTCTTCAGCAGCACAAATTCATTTTCTGCAGCCGTCCGTCGGTTGATCTCCTCCTCATACCTGTGGAAAGGCCAGGGATGTGAGCTTATATTCATTACCAAGAGCCCTGATGTTCCCAGGGGAGACCCTGAGTGCACAGATGAATGCCAGCCAGTGGGGCACAGAAAGTTAAAGGGCCAGCCAAGCAAGGAAGGCTTCCTGGGGGAGAGGAAGGTGGCCAAGTTTGGAAAAAGCGGAGGAAGCATGTAGAGTTACTGGCCTCCAGGGAACCTGGGAGGGTACAGGAAGCAAGCCACCTCACACCAAATTCGAGCTGTGCCTCAGGCTCCTGGGAGTTGGAAGCTCTGAGAATGTGTAACATTTGCCCATTGTCAGCCCCAAGCCAGAGCTGCCCAGATGCTTGGACATTTGTCCCCAGTGTCTAGACTGACACTGAGCACATTTGTACTGGCTGGTTGACACAAGCTAGTCGTCAGAGAGGGGGGAGCCTCAGCTGAGGAAATGCCTCCAATAGATCCAGCTCTAAGGCATTGCTCAGTTAGCAATCAATGGGGAAGGCCCAGCCCGTAGTGGGCAGAGCCATCCCTGGGCTGGTGTCCTGGGTTCTCTAAGAAAGCAGGCTGAGCAAGCCGTGAGGAGCAAGCCAGTAAGCAGCACCCTCCATGGCCTCTGCCTCAGTTCCTGCTCTAGGTTCCTGCCCTGCTTGAGTTCCTGTCCTGACTGATGAACAGCAATTCGGAAGTGTGAACCAAACAAACCCTTTCCTCTCCAACTTGTGTTTTATTGCAGCAGTAGAAACCTAAAGCTAACTAAACTAACAACTAACTAACTAACTAACTAACTAACTAACTAACTAACTAACTAACTAACTAACTAACTAAGACAACATTCCAGCTTTCTGAGATGGTTACTGCTTGCTATGGCCTAGAACACCACTCTCCACCTCCGAAACTTTGAAGCCAAACTTGCCAATCCCCTCAGAGGGACGGCCCACTGCCCTGCCACAGGCTCTCTCCCCACTCACTTCTTCTTGTAGTCCTCCACCACGTCACGCACGTTCCTCAGCTCGGAGTCCAGCCTCACCCTGTCACCAGAGAGTGTCTCCAGCTGCTTCCGCATGTTGCTGATGTAGCCCTCGAGGATGGGCTCCAGGTTGTTCTTGCAGTTGTTCAGGTCCAGCTGCTGCAGCAGCTCCCACTTGGTCTCCAGCACCTGGTTCTGCTGCTCTAGGAAGCGCACCTGGAACCCAGACCCAGCTGCTGTTGAGCCCACAGAATTCACCCTACGTGTCACGAAAGGTCCGTTATGCTCGGCACTCTGGCCGCCTCTTTTTCTTTACCCCTCTACAGTTGTGAAAGGTGGGCAAATGGCTAACTGTGATGCATGGACTAAAAGCTGGGGCAGGAAGATGTTTGGCTTCTTTCTAAGGTCTGAAGGTTTAGTCAAAGGCAGAACTCAGAACTAAACCCAGGCAAGTGTCCTTTCACTGTGGGGATCCAACCAGCCAGAGCCCACTGACACCAAGGCAAAGTGAGGCGTGAGCACCCTGACAGAGCAGAACAGGACCAAGCTGGGTGCGTCTGTCCCGAAAGGCCACCGGCTCTGAAGATGAGGCCCACCCGCACCTGATGCTATCTGTGTCAAAGTGCAGAGACCAGGGCATTCTGGGCATTTCAAATCCCCACACCAGGGCCCTGTCTCCTCTCACAGATGCCATCTCCCTTCTCCAGGCAGCTTTCATAGCTGTGGAACAAGGTGGACAGGCAGACAGAGCCTGACCCTCACCAGACCAGGGAACTCACTGGAAAGCATTGGCACGTACCCTCCTACCTGGCTCTGGGGAGCATAGTTTTTAAAAACTGGCTTCCTCCCCGGTGCCTATGAGCACAGGCATGTTTAAGCAAGGCTTTGAACACAGCACATGGGAAGGCCACATGGAACTCTGCACTGAGGTGAGATTGTGCACTCAGCTGCTGGTCTCTAGCATGTCACCCAGCTCTTGGCTGGGTTGAACCAACCCTGGCTTCTTCCTGAGCTGAGTGCTAACCTCACCGAGGACACCATAGTTCCAGCACACCACTAGACGTGGCCAGATCACCAATGGGACTGGGCATCTCTCCTCTGCCCGAGGTTGAGAGGTTGTGGTTCTCCTGGGACCAAAACTCCTCAACAGCTGACCAGGCTCTGGGTCTCCTCATGCACCAGGAAGTCCTGAGGCTCCCATCAGGTCTTGTCCAGGTCTGAGTTTCCTCCGCTCCTCAGAACCCTTCCCCAGAGACAACAGCTGCCATTTGGGGAGGACTTAGTCCAGGCCAGGCCAGGCATACTGCCAAGACCTTCGCATGAGCTTTCTTTTCTAAACTGACACAAGCCCGGGAGGAAGGCAGTGGTTTCCACCCTAGAGGTAAGGACACAACAACCCAGAGGAAACAAGTGATTCCCGACAAAGCCTGCCAACCTGACTCCAGAGCTCCTCTGCCCCTACCCTGAAGGAGTAATGGCCCTTGACCACCAAACAAACACCCACAGTGGAGACACCCTTTAGCCCAAAGGGCCTGCTGTGACCACTCATGCCCTGACCCACAGCCAGGTGACTGGGGTTCGAGGTCAGGTGCCTAAGAAGATAGGTGTCCTTCACCCTGAGGCTGATTCTCTCCCCATGGCCTGTGTGACCATGAGGCTTAGCAGTGGCACCACATCCCCAGAGCAAGGCCCGTATCTGTTCCCCACTTTCCTGTGGGTAGCCCTGAAAGCCTACGCCAGCAGACACTGCCGGGGTTTTCCCTCCAGACTACAGAGCAGCTTTTTACAAGATGCTAAGGAGACAGAATGGACCGATCCTGTGTGCTGGAGGTGTACCCGACTTCAACAGCTCTTGAGGACCTGAAGAAACGGCTCCAAGAGGAGGAGAGGAGAGCTGCTCCCGGGTCCGCTGCCCAGCTGGCTCACCTTGTCGATGAAGGAGGCGAACTTGTTGTTCAGGGCCTTGATCTGCTCCCGCTCCTGGGCGCGCACCTTCTGGATCTCGGGGTCCAGCTCCACATTGAGGGGGGCCAGGAGGCTTTCGTTGACTGTGACCTGGTGGATGCCTCCAGGTGGGCACACAGTGGGGCACACAGGCCCCAGCGCCACACTGCCAAAGATGCTGCCGGCGAAGCCGCTGGCCCGGTTCCGGCCAAATCCAAAACCTCCATTCTTCCCGCTGCCGCTGGCCATGTTGAGGGTGATGCTCCGGGCCCCTCCCAGGCTGTAGAGACTCCGGCTGCTGAAGCCCCCGCTGAGCCCTTTGCCCCCTGCCCGGTAGGAGGAGGCGCTGCCCCCAGACAGCACTGCGGAGCAGCCGCTGAAGCCCCTGCTGCCGGCTCCAGACTTGCAGGTGAATTGGCGGCTCATGTTGGTGTTCGAGGTGGGTACAGGTGCAGGAGGAAGGCAGATCCAGAAGGCTGGAATGGCTGTGGTGAGAACCAGCAGGTGCCTTTATATACGCTTGGCATGGGGCTGGCAGATGGGCAGTGGAGGGCTTAATTCGTGGGTTTGGCTTGCCTAGGAGCAAGAAGTCATTTTCTCCGTGCTGAGCCAGAGATCGGCCTCCCTGCCTCTGAGACAACATGAAACTGTGGGATTGCTGTGCTTGCAAACTTTGCTCTGGTAATTTGGGTCTTATCTAATTAACCCACTGTAATAAGGTAATTTGCCCCAGGCCACAGCCTCCTCAGGGGAATGTCGCTGGCCTTCTAACGTGTCTCTCAGATTCATCTCTGCAGTTGGCTCTCTCGGCAGGGGTCCAGAAGGTAGAGATGGTCTGGACGTTTTGGACAGAGCTGTCCACTAAGTACAAGGACTCTACCACAGCAGGGTCCTCTGTCCTAGAAAGGGGGATCCCGGCCAGGCAGCCATTCTCCCCAGGCCTCCTGCAGACATAAGCCATGGAGAGAAGCATCTCTTTTGGAGGACCAGGGTGTGGGACCCTATCTCTAGCAAGGGACCTGAGCAGCCCAGGCCACAATAGCTAGGAGCTCATGACCGCCATGTGCATATTACACTTCCTGGAGAGCTAGAAAATCCCCCACAGCACCTTAAGGGACAGGCCTTGTGGCTACGGGAGAAAATGAAAAGGCAAGAGCGAGGAGTTTGGTGGGGATTCAACTGCAGTAGGTAGAGAGGACAGACGGGATTGACATGGTCTGGGGAGTTCAAAGCCATGGGCACTCTGTTTCGTCATGCCCCTCTCTCTCTTGCCTTGTGTACTGCTTGTAAGGGCAGGAACCAGCAGGCAGCCATGTGCCCTAACTCCAGCTCCTGCTGCCCAGGCCAGAGAAGTGAGGAACCTGGGTGGAACCATTGCTAGAAGGCCAGACTTCACAACTCTAAGGCCAGAAAGCCTTCTGTGGGAGGACTGCTCTACAGCTGAGCGCCACACTGGGTTTGTTTGGTGTGCGCTCCTAGTGGCTCTGTCTGTGTCCCCTCCATCCCGGTCAGTGGCTCCCGCGATGGGCCCCAGTCCCCTCAGTGATCACCCCGTTTAGTCATGGCTACCTCACGCCTGGAGAATGGCCTCCCTCAAAGCCCTGCCAAGGGCCCACAGTGAGGTGAGGTTCTTAGCTGAGCAGGGTCCTAAAGGGAGAGAAATCTGGACACAGGGTGGGCAGGGGCTCTGTCTGGCTTCACTGGCCACGGGACGCACTCTCTCCTCTCCCCTGTTTTCCTTTCCACCCCTCATGCCAGACTGTGCTCATTGCTGGTATGAAAAGAGCACTTCCTCCACCCCTTTGCTCCCTGTCTTGCCTCCATCCTCCATCCATTCTCTCCACACACCATCTCTTATTCTCTCACACTCTACCCTCGACTCCTTGTGGGTCTTCCTGAACTGAAACAGCGGGCTCTGAGCTCGCCTCCCCTCTCTCAATCCCTGGCATGCTCTTGGATGCATTATCAGACAACGGCTATGGAAGCAACTTCCTCAGTGCTCCTCTGATGGCCGCATCATCCTAGCTTCCTTTTGTGAGGGCAACAGAGCGTCTCTAGACCAGAGAGACACCCAGCATGCCCCTCTCCCTTCCTGCCTCCTCTGTCCCTGTCTTAGCCTCCTCTGAGTGCCCACAGTATGTCTGTGTCATGCTGAAGGGCTTTTCAGTGCCCGCAGAGTACATCCCTGGCACAGAATCCCTGCCAATGTCATACACAGTCCCCAGACATACACAGCAGCACCCGTTCTCAGCCAGAAGTGTCCTTCATCCTCTGCTCTTGCCCACCAACTGTTCCTTGATTTTCCCTGTCCTCCCTTGGATGCCTCATCCTCGGGCCTCACGGTGAGGGTCTATGAGCCAGTGACGTCCCCTTCTGTGGACTCCTGGCAGTCCAAGACCAGCCCCTTCCCAGTAGGCAGCCCTTTGCTGGAGACGCAGTGAACACAGAGATGGAACGTTGGGGTTTTGTCTGCCTGGGGTGGCACCAGTAGCCTGGACCCCAGGGACCAGTTTCTGCCCCACCACTCTATTGGGCCTCTCTGGTCTCAGCTTCTCCCGGGGAGAACGGGACACTTGAGATTAGTGCGGGGTGGCAGGCGATGCACGTGTTATTCCCCAGGAAGTGGTCCCCAAGGCCTGAAACATACCTGATATCCATTAACCGGTGCTGGCGGCTAGAGAGCCGGAGGCTGGGCCTGCCTCCCCTCCGTCCTCTCCAGCTGGCATCTTTATCAGCACATTCCCACACGATGGCATCAGGTGCTGAGGACGGGGAAGGGGTGGTGACCGTACAAGCCCAGCCTCTCCCAGACCACTGATGATCCCAGAAAATTGACCATTACAAATAACAGTAATAATAAAACTCAGTAGGAAGCACTTTATAGCCGTTATGTCACATCTATTGGTGTCCGAGAACTTAGCAAGTATTTGTTGGACACATAACCAACTTCTGATGGAGATGGTCCAAAGTACCCTGCCCCCGAAGAGCTTGTTCTCACTGTCCCCACAAAGGCAAGTGTCCCTGAGAGAAACAGCTCAGTAGATTATTACCAAGTCATTTACACAGTGGTGTGAATTAGTCAATCAGATACTGGCCATTAGGAATGAAACGCCCCGTGTTGTTGATGAGGATGATAATAGAGGAGGAAGCCAGAGAGCTGGACCACCCACAGGAAGGGTGGGCCCAGATGGGCACCTGGGATGTCTACTTTTTGCTAGAGGGGAAAGGGAGGGAGCAAAGAAAACCAGAATGGAGTTCACCAAGAGTACAAAGGATCTGCCTTTGCCCCTGCATTAGTGAGAGCTAGAGAGAATGGGGGGGGAGCCAGACCCCCTACTGTGGGGTCCTATGGTCTGGGTTGGAGACCTCACCCACCTGCCCCCATGCAGGTGTCTGTCTGTGGGACAACTGACTTCTGAGTGATGCTCTGCCATCCATGCGTGTCTTACGGACATAGCATTGCCCACCTGTAAAACGGGGAAGGGGAAAGACAACTATGAGGTCATAAAATCAAACCCTGAAGATAGCAGGAAGATCTGGCTTGGACATCCAAGGAAAAGGCCTGTGCCTTATCCGATCAGCTTTCTCTGCGAAGCTCTTGGTTTTATACTCAGCTCTCTTGTTTACTTGAGTGAAGTGTAGTTTTCTCTGCATCTCTGCTTCCACATGTGTGGTGACAGTCGTGTTTGTTTGTGCCCCATGGCTTTGGGTGGTGTGTCTGCTGTGCCTTTCCAGAGGTCTTGGGTCAATAAACCTCTTAAAAGACAATCTCTGAGGGAGGCATGAGTCCATGAGATGCAGCTTCATGGTTAGAGAGGGAAGGAGCAAAGAGGCAAAGCTCGGGAGACTGAATGTGCGCTGCTGCCTGCAGGAGAGGCTTGGGGTTCAATCTTTCAAGGAAAGAAGGATTGAACTGGCTGTTCTGAGAAGTCGGGGAAGCAGCCCAGGATGGTGAGACACGGGTCATTTGTGAGGAAAAGACCCACTAGGCTGAGGTGGTTGTGGATGGAGGGTGACCGTGGGTAGAGAATGTCCAGATCTGGGGCTGCTCATGAGGCAGGAAGCCCGAGAGAGCCTAGACAGCGTGCATCTGCGGAGGCAGAATCTGTGTGGGTGGGATTGGGGGTGGGAGTGGCCAGAGGCAGCAGGACAGGGGCAGGTGGGTCTCTGAGCAAAGTAATTATCTCCAAAATTAGAGAAAATGAGCTGGGCTGTTTGGATGACATCAGCTGAGGCCCTCCAGCCCTCCTGGGCTGAAGGATCAGGTTGTGAGTATGTCGAAGGTGAATCCCCAAAAGTGGTCTCACCCTGAGTCAGCTGGGCCGGCTGCCATCCCCGGACACTTGGCCAGGGCAGGAGAGGTGCTCAGCAGCTTTGGCACTCAAGGCCAGATGTGAGCTCACCCGAGGAGCTGGGTAGGAAGGACAGGGAGTGTTCTGGTGACAGCCCTGCTCCCAGAGCCTTGCACTGCGAGAACCGTCATTCAGGCCTGCCCTGGCTCCTGCCACCTCCATCAGCTCTCTGGCCAGGCACTTCCATTGAGCATACTTGACCAGCTCCATCTTTTCCTCACCCCACACCTCTGACACAGTGTGTCGACGTGGGACTCGGAAGGAACGTGTCATAGTCTCACCCAGGCCACTCATGGCCTACCTAACAGTGGGTAGGCCTTCTGCCTTCCTATGCCTCTGTTTCCACATCCCTAAGGATGGGGACACCAACATCTGGTCCACCTCCTCCCCGAGGAGGTACCTTGTAAATAATAATAAGGATGAAGATGACTGTGACTTGCTGGCTAACCCTTAGTCAGGGTTCATGCTGTAAGCACCTCACATATGAATTCTTTTAATCCCTACAACAGCCCTGAAGGCCGGCACTATTATTACCCCGATTCTTAAATGAGACAGTAATGCTCAAGGAAGTTAGGCAACTTCCTCGAGGTGGTACAGCGGGTGAGGAGCTGCACGGTTGCTTGGTTGCTGGTGGCAAGGCTGCGGCTTGTGACCTGGACCTCTCATAGCCTGGCTGTCTGTACCATGGATGCCTGGAGCAGATGGCCCCCCTGGGCCCAGTTCTCACCTCCCAGAGCCTCCGGGTTGCCTAACTCTCAACCTGCAATGGTAAACACCCAGCTATTTGGATCCTGTCCCTCCATGCCTGAGCACCTGTCTCAGCTCCGATGTCTCATTTCATCACTTTTCAGTGTCTTCTTGCTCAGTAATAGCCCTGGCGCAGGAGGCAGTGGCTCCAGCTGGTGACAGGGGAGGCGATCATGCATCCTTCCACCCATCATCCCTGACACCGTGAAAGCAGGAGAGGGTTGAGAGGCTGCTCCTTCCCAGAGGACTCACTCAGCATTTGTCAGCATGGCCTCTCCATGACAGGCATCTACCCTACACAGGGACAGAGGAAGACAGCCCACCTCA